TACTCTGTAGCTAGTGCAGGTGCCATGCCAAGTAACCCACACAACCACAATGACTACATTCACTGTAAGTTAGCTACTACGTATCATCAGGAGACGGATGAACCTTCTTAGAAAGGCACTACCTGAACTTCATACATTGCATGTTCTGCTCCATGGATGTAAGCTGAAAACTGGACTTGCTTTTTCCATTTGATGCCTAGTATAAAAACCATTTTGCCCATGATCTAAAAGGTAGCATACTTTTGATTAGTACTACTCATGAAAGAGTTTGTTGCCTTTCAATAGCACATATGCTTTTTCTTCTCCATAAAAGTCCTTCTCTTTTCTCTCTGTCTCCTTAGAAGACTTTTTCTGCTTTGGTAGCACTTTTAATAGTATCTACTACAGACAGTCAACATTCCCGGCCACTATCACAACCGGTGTAAAGCAAACAAGACAAGAATGCATAAAACAAGGTGAACAGGAAGAAACTAAACACAGTTCCTGCCTTTAATTCCTGAATAAATTGTTTAGGTTTTATCTTTACCATTTAAGCACTGTTCGGGAAAACTAAGAAAGCCACAAAATTATTATTTAAGAGGAAAAAAAAATCAATTATATATTTTTATGATAGTCATTAATACTTCCTATATGGTCTCACCTAATCAAGCAATTATCTGCCTAGAATGCAATAGGCAGACTTGGTTGAACTCGAACTTTAAGCAGGTTACTCAAAGTCTTTCAAGCCACCAGTACTTGCAGAAGTCTTCAGCTCCATGTCCATAATCACCCAAGATTTCTGCATCCCATTTTCCTAAAATATTCACATAAGCATTTTAGCATCTACACATACTTCAACGCTAAGTTTAAAAGTGAAGCTTACATCAAAAAGCACATGAAGGAAGCGTGAAGTGTACAACGTTCTAAATGATTCTGACAACTACCTTCACCTTTGGCTTCCCTTCAGGAAGAGGTGGCCCATGGATGCTGTATTTGGGATGCTATTCCCAAGACCCGCTCCACTTTCATCCTAGACACATACTCCCCCTCCTGATAAAGGACTGCTGCCAGCTGTGGAGATTCATTTCTACACAGAAAGTCTTCCACCATTGTGTTTTCTCTGATCGAGTTTTGAAATATGTTTGACAGTTATATTTGGATGTTATCTGGCTAAGTTTGAGTAGTCAATCATCCTGCTGCCAAGACTTCCAGAGTGTCTTATTTTCCCTTCGTTTTTCAGATATTTCTGTCTTTTCCCAAAGTTCTGCACCCCTTACTCAAAATGTAAATGTTGCTGCACCTAGAAACATGATATGAGCTGTAATAAATGGTGGCAACAATCAGAACCTTCTCAATGGCTTCAAAAACTGCACCATCCATTCATACATGACTGAAGTTACTTCACAGGCTGCTGAAGGCACTCAATTTATAGTACAGGAAATAATTAATCCACTTTCATTGCAAAACAGTAATGAGTTATCAGTTGGTAACTTGTCTGTGCTTCCACTGAGACTTATCATGGACATTTATAAAAGGTACTTGCTGTATCACCCAGTCAAGAGTTGACTGAGATGTTTGTAAGCCTTGCGTCCTTTGGTATTCAGAGATATCTTCACCATTCCACAAAGATAAACTTAACTGTAAATGTACAATCAATATCTCATTTACTTAGCCAAGACAGTAGGTAAAAAAAAAAAAAAAAAAGAAAAAAAGAAAACCACAACCTTTCATTCTTTATGCTTAAAGGCAGAATTCATTAACGTCGACTAGCAAAAACAGTTTGGAGGATGATGTTACAATAGCATGATTAATTGGCAGCCCTAATTTGTACATTCCAAAGGTGCTGGTTGGTGGGGGCACCACCTTCCCAAAGCATTAAGGACTTGAAGCCGTAAAGATGCAATGATTTAAAAACAGCAATGAAAAAGAACCCAGACTTTCTGTATGCTCACTGCCTTGTAAGCCGTGCCTTGATGACAGACTCCCAGTTCTGCTCTGCACATATATTTTCTGGAAGCACACTCACATGCTAGCTGTTTTCAGCCCTTCAAAATGTACATGATTTTAAGTTGGATATTAGAATACATTCTGAAATACATTTTATCTTTATACTTTGATGCGGAATAGATCTCGTATACCTAACAGATGAATCAACAACCTGCTACAGACCCTTAGTCTGCACTACCCATTTTATAAAAATAATAATAATAATAGTTTCACTGTAATATATTTTATTATCATTTCAAGTCACACAAATGTATTTTTAATAAGATGCTTGTCTATACATCTTCAGCTCAAAACTATCCTGTCAGTTTACACTGTTATCTCTAATCTCTAGCTTACCCATAGAACAGAAAGGCACTTCCTACAGTGTTTTCTCAGTCAGGATGTAATCACTTTGCTCAGCACCAATTCTGTTTCTCAGCAGTTTTATTCTCAATCCTTCTACAAAGAAGGTGACAGATCTAACAAACTGTTCTTGTCTTTTCAACTTCAATTAATAAGATTTAGATAACAAACAGAAAGTAAGCTGCCTCTAGTTTTTGCAACTCCAACATATTCAACTTTAAATTTGAATTCAAGACATTATGTTTTCATACTACTGCCTCACTCAGCTTCTTCCTTCAGTAATCTTTCTTTGTGTTTCAATCACAACCAATTTCTACAACTCAGAGTGAGTTTGCATTTACATAACCAAATAAAAAACTGGGAATGTGTATGTTTCAAGTGAATACAGACACTGTTCAATATACTAATGAAACACCTTTCACATACTGAAATTTCATTCCTTAAGCTCTTAATTCTACTTCACGCTTAGTCTTACAAAAGGAAAGGAGGAAAGCCAGCCATCCCCCTGGCAGTACAACTGAGCAGTGTACTGACCTTAGATTACAGCTGATTGTTCAGGCATTGTGGGTTTCTGAGTTGGATTTTTTTTTTTTTTTCATCCTGGAGAACACAGTAACATTTTTACTCATTTTTTCTTTTAAATAACTGCTACAGCTTTGCTGACATTCTCTTACAAGTGACAGGAAAAAGGAAGCATTTGTCATTGTAAATGCTGTCAAGAGAAAAATATTTTGTATGCTCCCACGTACAGCAAACTAAGCCTTATGCTTGTTCATTGATTGCTGCGTCCATTGTGTTGCACTGAAATAAAAAAATTGCACCTCCTGCCCAAACAAAAGGGAGGTACCCAGATCTCATAACGGGCCATTTTCTTACAGAAGAGCAGATCACAGAGGGATGCAGAGTTTAACAAGCTCTTCCCAATACCAAACACCCACAGAAATGCCAGAACATTTCTCAGTGTATTCCACAGCCCAACTCAATCAGATCAGCTCCACATGTACATATAAAAATGAAAATCCCGGTTGTTAAATATGCTCTAAGAGTTCTTCAGTAAACATCTGACACGTCTTTTTCTACCGCTTTAAGACTTTCTGCTGCTGCAAGACCAAGCTCAGTGCAACTTCCCTACGATCAGAAACTATCAGCATCAGAAGCCATCACCGCACCACCGACGAGCTCATCAAGTCTGTGTCATCCCCCTGCCCACACACAGACGCCTATTAATACAGCCGGCACGGTCGCCCAGAACTGCAGGATTACTACACAGCACGTACCCATCTGTAACTATACACACGTCTACTACGGGGGCCCATCGTTTTGCTTTCAACGTCATTTTTCCGAGAACGACAAAGATCGGTCCTCCCCGCACGACCTAAGCGCCGGGGCCAACAATGAGCTCCCTTCCCTCCACGCTCGACGCTGCCGTGCCGAACGGGCCTCCGGGGAAGCGCGGAGCCTTCCGAGGGCGCTCAGCCCTCCGCTCCGACCTCTGCCCGAGCCCCGAGTCCCGTTCGGGGATCCCTGCTGCGATTGCACCTCCTCCCTCCATCCTCCTTCAAGCAAACGGCGCTGATTGCGCATCCCACTTCCGTCACGGACTTCCCTTAAAAACCACATTAACGCGGCTTTTATTATTCTCATTACTATTACAGCCGTCATCTTTATTTTCACACGCCGAGGCGGCGATCCCCCATCTCTCGGCCGGTGAGTCTGCATTTTCCCCGCACGCCGCTCCTTTTTAGGCAGCCGAAGGCAGCGAGCGCCCGGCCCGGCCCTCCCGCCCCGCCCGGGGGCTGCCCGGGGGGCGCGGAGCCGCCATTACCGGGGACACCGTGCGGGCAGCCCCCTCCTTCCGTCCCTCCCTCCCTGAGGACGGCTGCGTGCCGGGCCGAGCACGGAGCGAGGCAGCGGCCTCCATGTTTGATCCCGGCGGCCTGTCAACGGCTCGGCGCAGCGGGAGGGCCTCCCGAGGGCGCGGGCAGAGATCGCCGGAGCGGCTCGTTCCCCCCTCCCGCCGCCTTTCAAAGCCGCGTCACCTCCCTCTCGCCCGGAGCCCGCAGCCCTGCGGCACGCCGCCCCCTCGTCGTCCCCCCCCCCCCCCCCCTTCCCCGCGTTTTCTTTACCTCCCTCGGGAGCCAGGGCTGCCCTGGCCTCGGCCCCGGCTCCTGTAGCGGGCCGGCCGCCGTGCGCAGCCCCCCGCCCAGAGCCGCACCTGTCACCGGCGGCACCGCCTCGGGGTAGCATCCGGCTCCGCGGAGCGCCCGCGACACGCGGGGCCCCACGCGGCCGCCACCTGGGCGCCACAGGGCACCTGACAAAGCCGCTCCCCGGCCGCCGCCGCCCCGCTCACCAGATCGGAAGAACGCCGCGATGTCCGCCGAGTCCTTGGCCGCCTCCTCGGCCCCTTCTCCCCCGCCGCTGCCGGCCGTGCTGGCCGCGGCGGTGGAGGCGGCGGTGGCGGCGCTGCTCATGGCTGCGGCGCGCGGCGGCGCTTCCTCCGGCTGAGACCCGCCGCCGCCACCTCCGCCGCCCCGCTCCCCTGTGCGGCCGCCGCCGCCTTCACCTCGGCGCGGGCGCGGCTCTCAGGGCGGCAGCCGGAGCGGAGCGGGCGAGCGATGCGCGGCGGGGGCGGCTGCCGCCGGCCGCAGGGACATGAAGGTATGCGCGGAATGGCAGCGCCGGGAGCGCCCACCCCCCGCAGCCACCTAGGAGGCGGCGTGTGCATGCAGCGAGCCGGGGCGTGCGGGCGGGCGGCAGCCGGAGCGCAGACAATTGCGGGAGGAGGAGGAGGAGGAGGAGGAGGACGGCATGGGGAGGGCCAGCAGTCAGCGCAGCGCGGAGTCGGGGGGAGGAGAAAGGGATGCTCCCAGCCTCTTCTTTTTTTTTTTTTTCCCCTTCCTCCGAGCGGCTGCGCTAACCACGGCGGTGCCGGTGGCCGCAGCAGCTGCCGTCCTCCATCTTGCCTGGGAGGGGAACCGGGAGAGGAAGCGCGACCCCGCCCGAGAAACAAGGGCGGCGGGGGGGAGAAAAGCTCGGGAATCTCCGGCTCCGTCCGGCAGTGGTCGGGAGGGGGCGGCACCACGGCTGTGCTGCTGCCGAAACCGCTCCCTATTGGCTGCGGCCGGGTGGGGGTGCGGGGTCCGTCCCGGCGGTCACCGAGAGCCAGGCGGGGTCTGCGGGTTGGATTATGTCATCCTTTTATTTTTAGCCGCTTTCGGCTTCCCCCTCTTCTCGCAGCGCCTGTTGCAGGCTTGTGGTTGTGGGCAGGTCGAGCTGAGGATCGCAGGGAGACGGCTGTTAGGGGTCGGATCCACGGGAGGACCGGGCGCGGCACACGACGCAGCGCCCAGCGGGCGGGAGTGCTGTGTTCCTTCGTTGTGAGTCGGCTCTCACGGCTCGGACACGAATGGAGGACGTGGATTGGATGGGGCCCGGGGCAACCTGGTCCGGTGGGAGGCATCCCTGTCCACAGCAGGGGGTTGGAGATGATAATCTTTGAGGTCCACTCTTTCCTGAGTCATTCTTTGATTCTATGAAGTCATTTTCAAATAACACATTTATTGTGACTATTTATTTTTTTCAGTTATGTCAAGGAAACATCAAGATACTTTGTATCGTGGACAAGTCAAATGAACATAAAGTAAGCAAACAGGTCGTGATAGAAAGTGCAATTGAGTGCCTGGTTAAAGCATGTCCTGGTGCAGCAGTGGTCCTCATGTTGCACTACCACAGTAAAGTTATCTGAAGGAGAAGTTGGAGGAAGAGTGTTGAAGAAGGCTGCTGAGCACCTTCAGGAACTGATAAAACTGAAGAACAGTTCTCAAACGCTTGTAGTAAATCATAGGAAACATTGCTATGTTCAGCTGAAAATCATATGGCTTCAAGAATTAGATTCTTGAGCCTTTGATAAGTGTTAAAGCAAAGATAACTTAAGAGAAAATGTGGCTTTGTTAGTTTATCACAGACAGGTGATGTGGACCATGTTTTTCCAAGGTTTGTGTTAAGTTCAGGTTGTACAGCTTGCTGAAAAAGCTTTTGTGCAACCATCCTTACCCTAATTTCTCCTACAGAGATGAGATTAGTTTGACTGAAAAGAATTTTTTTAATGTTTTTCTTTCAGGCTGTGGGCACAGGAAAATGTTTCAAATTAGCATCCCGCTGGCAGAAGCAGTTGCAACGTGAATTCCTTTCTAGCTGGCCTAGCAGCAGCCATCAAGCAGAAACCAACTGGAATAAATGCTTCTGCTCCTGAGCAAGCCAGAAGCAGACCTGGGAGCAGGAATTGGATAATATTCTACACCAGCACAGAATAAACTGCATGAGATGAAAGACAATGAGATCAGTGAATGAAAAGGGTTAATATAATGAATAAAGAAAAAATGGATATCCTGGAAATTCCATAATTCAACCTCTTAGTTTCTTCAGAGCAAGGTGGTACTCAAAATTATTTGTTTTCAGGATTTAAATTGACTGTTATTATGTGCAATTATGGAAATTAATTAATAATGTTGTAGATGTTGTAGATTGTCATTTGAGGTCAGTTATGCCACTGGTGGCTTTGAAAGACTGTTCTGTCCATCAGCTATTTGAAAAGGGGATGCGGCCTTTTTGTTTGTTTGTTCTGTGGTGGTTTTTTTTTTTTTTCCCACCTTGTTGTTCATCCGACAAACTGCACAATTGATTGCCAGTGGCTGCTGGAAAGCCAAGGCCTGTTTGAAAAATTTTGAAGGCTGTGTGACTGAAGTTTGTCCTTCCACTATTGTCTCTACCTGCTGAATAGCAGAAGATGCTTCTATTGTTTACTACATGGGTACCTGAGCCATGCCTCCCTCCGGAAGAGCCTCTCATCTATACAAAACTGGGGAATCTGGAACAGTTCCCAGCTTTGAGGATTTTGTTTCATGCATTGATTGATATCAAGTGGTTGCACTTTACATTCTTTACCTGCACTAGAGGCGGTCCTCACAGAGATACCTTCAACAGCCAAATGCATTCATAACCTTTGCAGTGCTCAGAAGGACCATAGCAGTAGTTGTGTTTGTGCTTACATTCATGATACAACATTTACTGAAGAATAAATTAAATTGATAAAGATAGGAAAATGATATTCTGGTTGAGTTACTAAACACTTTTAATTAAGTACGTATATCATGCACAAGGTTTTAATATTGTGACTTCAGGGAATCAAGTTTCTTAGTCCAGTTTTTCATGATAATATTAGGCTTCCCAGGAAGATGAGGGGAGAGTATGAATTGTCTATGTGAAGAATGTTGCATATGGAGAAGTTGTGTGAGTTTGCATACATTGGAAGCCTGGCATTATAGAATAGCCTTGTTCTTCACCCTCAGCTCCAACTTTGCTTCTCTCAGTTTTTCTCAGTCAGCAATTGTCTTTGCACCAATTACAGTGGTAAACTCAGTAGAAGAAAAATGCTCTTGTTTAATAGAAGATTTTAAGGCTGCTGTGACCTGCTAAACATCAATATTGACTGAGAGACTCTTTTTTTTTTTTTTAATTACTTACCAGGTTTTTTTATTAAATAAGTTGAAATAATCTATTTTGTGAATGTACACACGCACTCACTCACACACACATATATATATAAAGACATTTTATTTTATGGAAGTTGTTCCAAAATATTTACACCTGAGAAAGATAAAAGCTGTAAAATATGTATTGTTTCATTTGTATGTCCTATATTTTTCATGTGTGTTGAGCAGTCATTCTAAAACCGTTATATCAATGCACAAAGGTCTTTATTCCAGGCCAAGAGATCTCTTGTGAAGAAAGAAGCATATACAGTATCCAGATCAAGAAGTACCACATCACCTCATGTTTCAGCCCTAAGGAATATGGAAGCTGGATATTGCACAAGTTCTTTTCCTTCACTGTTTGCTGTCTGTTTAATGAAGACAAAGACTGCCTCGTTTTTGTAAGACAATAAATAAAGAAGAGCAACAGCTTGATTTTAAGTCACTGATATTTGCAAGCTTTCAAAAGTAAACTTGGAACTCCTTCATTTGGATGAGCATCAGACAGGAGATAACACTGATCTGTCTGCGTGGTCAGAGTTGTCTCATTGCTCAGAATAAAAAAAAGCCTTCAATTATGGGAAGGAAAAAGGAGTCAACAGCCAGTTTTTTGCAGTAGAGTTCACTTCTCACAGTCATTCTCAAATTTTACTACCCACTTTTATTTTACAAACTAAAACAGACTGAGACAGTGTGAGGACGAGAGTTCCACTTGGACATTTTAAAGGAAAATATATGTGAACTTCCCTTCAACCTAGCCAGCCCCTATGAACTGCTTCTTACTAATATTTTTCTGTAGCAGGCTTTTGGCAGGTTCCAAATGAATCTATAATGCAGAAGTGCTTGTGAAAAGTTAGCAGAGAATGCCATACCAGTTGTTATTGTGTTTTTGGGATGACAAGGCTTCTTTCAAGTTTGTAACAGCTAAGGAAAGCAACCAAAGTTATTAATGTGTAGCACCTCCAAGTTGCTATCTGGGTTCTTATCTACATTGCTCTTGAGTTATAGAAACATTTGTCAACTTCAGATTTTTCTCCAAGCCCAAGATGCATCTTTGTTATCTGCAGATTTGCACTAAGCCATTTTCTAACAGTTACAATTATTATCTCCGCATTTTCTGCAGTAGCCTCCATGTCTTTTTGAAAGTGCACTGCAGTTGCCTTGGGTACTAATAAGTCTATGTGGTCCCCTTATAGTATGTTTATGGTAAATGGTGATAGGACAAGGGGGAATGGTCTTAAACTGAGTCAGGGGAGGTTTAGGTTAGATATTAGGAGGAATTTTTTCACACAGAGGGTGGTGATGCACTGGAACAACTTGACTGCTCAAGGAGGTTGTGGATGCCCCATCCCTGGAGGAATTCAAGGCCAGGCTGGATGTGGCTCTGGGCAGCCTGGTCCGGTGGTTGGCGATCCTGCATATAGCAGGGGGGTTGAAACTAGATGATTACTGTGGTCCTTTTTCAACCCAGGCCATTCTATGATTCTATAAATTTCATGAGTTTTTGAAACTTCAGCTTTTGACTCTTTATCAGTTTTCTACTTTTCTGAAAAACAGACTTTTTTTGGTATCTGATAATAGATGAACTATCTATCATCTGTGCAGTATGTTGCCAGTGTACTTGAAAATATTTTTCATTTATTTCCACTGATAAGAATTTAGCATTCCTACATTTCTTAGAAACTTAGAGCAGCACTGCTGGCACATACCAGAGCATAATATTTCATAGGTACTCTTAATGCCTGAAAGGATAGGTTTAGTGCAATTAAGTTGAAAACTTTATCTGACCAGAATTTGATGGCCACTACAAGTGAAGTTTGCCTGCTTGTGTGTCCATGACTGTCAAATCTTCAGCAGGGGATGAAGCAAGTTTTTAATAACCTATGGACCAATTTTTGTGTTTTTGCATGTCATTTACCAAAAAAGTTAACCATCCTGATTTTATTTATAGCCAAACTACTTTTTGTTTGTTTGTTTGTTTGTTTGTTTTTAATTCTTACCACTTCAGTGATGTGATATCTCTATAAAAATCCAGCTCCCAGTACTGCTACATGGCATGTACTGACTTGTCAATGTCAAGGACACTTCTGTTATGTGTAGAAATTATACCACTCATCTGATGTTTTTATGACTATTGGTGGTCTATGTGCCATCTGTTGACTAACCTCAGCCTAATGAGGTGTTGGTTTTGCTTTTTACACTTAGGCGCTCATAATTCTGCATTATTGTACAATTATTGGCAGCTGAGCCATTTGGCTCCATCTCAGACAAGACATTCCATTGCCTTTGCTGTTTACATCTTAAAAAATGCTCGTTCTTACACTAAGGAAGTATGCATATATGTAAATGGACACACATGCACACTCTAATTTCAGATTTTCAGTCATTAGCATTAACATTTAGGCTACCTTGCTCTTTCAAATTGTACTTTCCTACATGTCCAAGATTTCTTAGGTAGAAATGTGCGTACTGCTTCAGAGCCTTGCTGAAAGAATTAAACTTATTTGCTGAAAAAAACATGTAGATTCATTGTAAGACCACTTTGTGGCTGGATCATGTCCACAAATCCTAATAGTAGGACAATGCATGCTAATGAGTCTACAGGTGGTTTTCTTCCCCTTTTTAATCAGTTATACTCAAGGTAGCATGGGTTCCTGTTCTGTTTGTAAAGCAGTTTTCATTTGAACATCCTGCAGTGCGCTTCTCACTTCACAATATATCAACATGTAAATCTGCATTTTGTTGATCACTTAACATTTGTATACCAGTGTGTTTATCCCTGAATTTTTAATTTTTGATTAGGGTATGCCTCCAAGTAATTAAAATAAGAGAGATGTGGTTGAGGTTTGGTTTGTTTTGTTGTTTTTTTTTTTTTTTGTTGGATTTTTTTTTTTTTTCTGGATAAAGAGACTGGCAACAGTATATGTGGTCCTCTTAGTTGATGTTAAGTATGTCTACTCAGTCTTTCTTCAGCTTTAACAGCATTTCATGAAAAAAAGCTCAGAGAAAAATTCAACATTGTCCTCTTCTTGCTGAATTCCATGTTCTATCAACTCACATATTAATCTTTACAAGGAAAACCATCCTATTGCAAGTCTTCATAAGTTTTAAGTTAAGAAATCAGGCTCCAGCAATTTGGATGGACTGAAACAGTTAAAGACTTATGACCATGACTGGCTTCAGAGAAGACTGGCTTTGTATCATGATGATGAAGGCTCAAAAATAGCTCATCGATTAATCTAAGCTATTATGTTGGTGATTGCCAACAGATTAGCAGGCAGTTGTATGTCCCTTTCTTATACCAAACTTGTAGACACACCCCATTACTACACCTGTGAGAAAACTGTTCCCTTAGTATCAAAGCAATCCAAAGTCTAGAAAACAGTTATCCTTCTTCTTAAACAGTAATTGTTAATTTTACGTGCTTGCTTGCAATCAGCTGTCAAAATAGTGTGCAAGAACAGGCACAAAGTAGCACAGGAAGGCCATACATAAAATAGAATTGTGAACTACGAATGCAGACAAACAGAAGAGTCAATCAAAAGTGAAGAATGAAACAAATGGCATCCTGCTTCAGGAATTATCTTCCAGAAGAGATCATTTAAATCAGTTTTCCACTTGTGTACTTGCATTCATGTGTCTTCATCAGCATGCTGTTTTAGAGTTGCCCAGATTGGAAAACATCTTGGATGCCTATGTCTGTATCACTTCTGTCAATCAGTATCTTCTAACAGGGACTGAAGAAATGTGAGTAACTCCTTTTGCAACAAACAAACCAAATTATTTTCTGTGCACAGAACCAAGTTTCAGTTTGAGCCATTTAAAAACTTCCAATTTAAAAAATATGTATGCATATTTACAATAGTTTTGCACGTGGTCCTAGTGAATTAGTTTTCATAGGAACCTATGAGCCTACTGCATTTGCTGGTTTTGTATGACTGGAGTCTTCATAGGTTGATGTTTCCCCAAATGCATTCACTGCCTGCTGACTTCACTGCTTTGAAAGGCAAAGAGTGTAAGTTAGGTAAGATTTACAGCTGGACCTCAAGATTTTCCAGGTTCACTTGAGAGTTCAACAAAGAGCCGCTTTCAAAACACGGGATTTTCAGTCAAGGTTGTTCTGCTGCAGTGAGGCGAATGTTTTTAACTAGACTGTATGAGTATACAGACAGATCCCTAGGATTTGTTTCATTCAGAAATAATGGATTTGCTCAGAAAAAGGCTTTCAAACTCCTGAAGAGGCTTGTTGAGATCCACAGATGGTACCCCATCACCACCAGCTGTTGTCCCAGGTGATTTCTGGTATCAAAGCCACAGTTAACAGTTTGATTTATTTATTTTTAAATACGTACATGTATAATGATTTCTCCATTCCTTTGTTTTTATCAGTTCTTTGTCTCCAGATTGGTTATTTTTGTATATTCCTCTCCTCTTGCAACATTTATTTCACTATTGCTTGTGATCTCTATGCATAAACTGTGATGTGTCAGATCAGTAAGAGAATGGTTTTATTTTAGGAGGTCAGCTTCTAGGTGAGAATTTATTATTCCTTCATATCAACCAGCCAAAATTGTCATCCTAGTTGGTTATACTGTTCACTAGGCAGTAGCAACAGATGTTATTCCCGACATTAATTTATCTTAGTGAATTAGTGAGAATTAGTGAGAGATCATGAATTGCCATCTCCTAGGAGCTTGCCTCCTCCCAGGAGCTGCTACAGTGGGAAAGAACTGACCAACGTGGAACAAAGTTTCCTAGTGTTTCCTTTATTCATGCTGAGAAGGTCGAATTCCTTGCCGTGCCTGGGCAGCCACTTGGCTTTCAGCAGCAGAAAAGCAGCAGCTGCAGCAATGTTCAGTAGGCAGAGAACAGTAAATAAATTGTTTTTATTTTTTATGTCCTCTCCAATTTTTCAATCGGAAGACAAACCCTCTCTTCTTTTCCTTCCTGCTTGGTGTATTTCTTTTTCTCCAATATATCACAGTAAGCTAATTGAGCAAAATGCAACTGCTTGCCAGCATTTTGCCCCTCACGTGCTCCCTTTCTTCTCTTTTCTATTTAGCAGCTAATCTAATTGGTAGACCCAGTTTCCTATTTTCAATTGAACCGGCTAATTAGAGTGGAACCCTTGGGCACAACAGTGACAAGTTTTTGATATTCACCCTGAAAGGTATCCAGCACATACTGCTATTGGCATGTTAACTCCAGTTACAGCCAGTTGCTTCTAAAGATGTTCAGCAACTGGCAGACCATTCAGATCCTGAAAAAGTTGTTTGGTGCTCCACATTCCCTCCGGAAGCTCAGCTGCTGTTTCTGAAGATAGAAATGCAGATGGGCTTCAGTTCCCATGTCCTTCCAGTTCTTAGCCCCTTTGTCAGTACACAAGACCAAAGATGTTATCTGTATATGCTCTCATTCTGGAATAGATACCTGGA